GTCTGATTAGCTGGTGGGGAGGGAAGAGGAGAGAGGGAGGAGGGACGTAAGAGGTAGAGAGGGCGGGAGGAGGAATAGGAAAACAGAGTTCGCCACTAATTCTTATAACGCTACAATAGTACGAAATGTGAAATTTGTAACATTCACATTATTTCAGATTTGGGAAAAGCGCAGGAATACTCAGTGAAGTTTTATACGTAAATCACAAGGATGTATATACTCTATACCTTTTCATACCAATTTGTTTGCACTATATTCATGATCACCATTAGATAATACACGAGTGTGTATTATCTAATGGCGACGCACACACTAAATGTGTGAACTACAGCAGAAATCACCTAAACAGCAACCTTACTTTGGGAGTTTGGGCCTCTGATTTTAACATAATGCATAACTGGGGAAATACGTATCTACATGGAAATCGGTGCAGCAAATATTATAAACTAAAGAGCCTGGTTCACAATATGATGACAGATTTCATTTCGTTCCGTTTCATCAGCTACCGTCGTATCGCGTGTTCGTTAGCGGTGCAGATATCTGTCCTCGAAATCGGTGCAGGAAGTTACGTCAACGTACTCGACATCCTGTGAAACAGGTGGGGGGTCCCTGGTGGGCGTGGTCTGGTCTTGAGACTCCGCCCCCTCCTTCTCCCTCTCCTGCTGTACTTCACTCACGGCACTCGGCCTATAGCGATAAGAGGAGAATTAAAGTTGGTAGTGATCAGTGGAAGTTCTCTTGGCGATAACAGTGGAGAAGTACATACTTCACAATTCCGGAAAATAATTTGAAAGGCTATAGTGTTTGTGTTATAGAGTGGAACCCCTCTCTAAGGACACCCCTGAAATGAGGATATTTCTCTCTTTCCCTGAAAAGCATGCGATTTTAACCCCTAAAATAAGTAAATCTTAAATGTTGCTCATAATGGACATTTAATTGGTGTCTAGATTAGAGGGGTTCCAGTGTATAGTGAGATTGCTGGACAGAGACAAGATGAAGAGAGAGGGAGAGAGGAAGAAGAGAAGGAGAGGGAGAGAGAATGAAGAGAGCAAAATAGAATATTAGAGAAGAGAGGGAGAGAGGGGGAGAGGAGAGAATAAAAGGCAAGACAGAGAGAAGAAGCGAGGGGGAGAGGGAGAGAGGAAGAAGAGAAGGATGGGGAGAGAAAAGCAAAGACATGGGAGGAGGAGAGAGGAGAGAGGGGGGGTGGGGGAGAAGAAAAGAGAGACCTGAATCTGTCCGCGAAGCATCACCGCTTCCTCTCACCTGTCCTTCCTTTGCGCAATTCCGGAAAGCGTCTCATCACCACATATCCACGGTCAGTAGGCCGAAGAGGTCCTGCCACCCAACACCGTGTCCCCCACGTGCTCAGTCAAACCATGGTCCGTCACTATAGCAGCCGGTCAGATACGATCCTAGCCAGAGCAGCGAGGCGATCGGTCATGCCCAATACCACCCCCCCCACCCCTAGAGCCCCTAGACCATCCCACACAATCCGGCCCTAACCCCGCGACCGTACCCACACTTGAGGGGCCCGTCTCGCGCCACCCCCCACCCACTACAAAATAAAAAGAATCAGCATCACAAAACCAAGCCAAACCTAACATCACCCCCGCCCACCCCACGACTGCTTTTGGAATAGCCGAGTGATACACCGATGCGTGGGACCATTATCTTTTAGGTATGTATGTTGTTGCTCCCGCACGTGTACCGTCCAAAGACCCACACCAACCATACAAACCACCCCCACAAGCATCCAATAACAAGTGACGACAGAAGATCTTCGGGCAGGAGTCTGCGGCCACGCCACAAACCTCGCCCCAATCGAATACACGACCTTGGTCACGTCACCAAAGAACTACAACGAATCGAAGCACGCCAGCCCCCCCCCCCGCCCAACAGTAACATCCAATCCCCTTCATAGAGACCCGAAAGAAAAAGAGAAAAGATTTGTGTTGGGTGATTAGTTTTATGAGTGGTGTAGATTGATTTGAAATAGGAGAGTTATTTCCCAGAGAAACAGTGAATACCTTTCGTGGGGAGTTCAAGCTCACAAGCAAACGCTATTATCTTACTTCCCAGCAACTACCCCAAGAGGAGAGCTAGGTGAGACCCAACTCAAACCCTAAGAAAAGTTACGACCAAACCCCCGCCAACAGAAGCCTCAGGCAGTAGCATTAAGCAAATCCTCGAACAAAACAGAATATGCAGTGTGTGTGATAGCGAACCGCCCCCACCAAACACTGCCACTCGTCGACGCTGGAGATATCATAAGACCAAATATTAAGACCCCACCGCATAGGAACCAGATAGTACCTTCACCAGAGCAACGTACACACACCATCGGCCTAACAACAAGGGCTGAGGATCTTACAGAACACAATTCGGGACTACCATGTTCTCTTACAATCGATCTTATGTTGGTGGTTGAGATGAGTCGGGTGAATGGGAGGGAAAGAAATCGCGAAACATACGAGAGACACCCACAGAAGGGCACAAAAACGAGATTAGGAGACCTAAACCTTAAAATAAAAAACCCCACCACTACCAAAACAACAACCAGCAACACAACAGAAAAGAATGGAATATAGGGACCAGTACGGAGAACGAGACGAGGAACTAACACCTCAACCTACTAGAATAGCCCCACGAAACGACCACGAAAGCAATGTGCAATGCAGTACACCAAATCGAGGCACTCTACTCCTCACCTGTACTGCTACATCGCAAGCTAGCTTGCAAAATTTTATAGATCTGGACACAGGTAACTATCTGACACTCCGGCCCCCCAACAAAATACGATCCTTGGTTACCCCTTGTCAGTGTCGTTGGTAAGTACAGGTACTCTTTTAGAGTTCTAGGTGTTGAGCAACCCTCGTATAGCCCGACAGATGTGGTTGTTCTGAAAAAACACTGGCCAGCTCTCCTTCTTGCATGGGCCCATGCCCACACAGAGTTCCTGACACATACACCTACACCCACACAATGCTATATGACCAAATGTATGTTATAGTACTACAGATATGTCACACACACGCAACAAATACACATGTGTTCACAACATACCACACACACCACCATGCATGCACCAACGCACGCATCGCACGCACCACACGCACGCACACAACGCACACACACAAACGCACGCACGACACGCACACACACACAAATTGGGTTACACACAACCTACACACACTAAATGCACGCACGCACGCACGACACGACACAAACGCACGCACACACGCACGCACGTCACACGCATCAAACACCGCACACACCACACAACACACGAACGTACGCACACACGTAGGCACAAACAACGCCCGCATCAAACGCACACCCGGGAACACACACACGCACATCCACGCACACACGCACATACACGCACCGCACACACACGCCACGCACACCGCACGCACATCACACGCACGCACACACACGCACACACGCACACACGCACACACCGCACGCACGCACTGCAACGCAAACACGCACACACACCACGCACGCACGCACACGCACACACACGGCCACACATCACAATGGTTCACACATACCTACACACACCATGCACGCACGCACGTACACGCCACCACCACACTCAGACACGCACACCGCACAACTGAACACGCACGCACGCACCACACGAAGGCACCACACGCACGCAACAGCCACACAACAACGCATTACCTCAACACACAGCAACACACCGCCACATCACGGCACGCACACATCACCGCACGCACACACGTCCAACGCACACACAAGCACCGCACACACGCACCACACGCACAACACACAATGCACACACGCCCACACGCACACCACGCAAGCAACACATCACGCACGCACACACGCACACACGCACACACACACGCACACACGCACACACGCACACACGCACGCATCACACACGCACACCGCACGCACGCATCGCAACACACACGCACGCACACACGCACGCACCACCACACAACCCACAAACAAAAACACGCACCCAAAAACAAACCAAAACCACAAACGAACAACCAAAACACGCCACCCAAAAAATGCCACCAACCAAACAAACCAAACCCCAAACACACGAACCAACACCAAACACACTGAACACAACACACGCACCACACGCAACCACACAACACAACCACGCACACCACGCACCACACACACACGCACACACACACACGCACACACACACACACAAGGAGAGAAAGAGACACACGAATGGTGTAAGTTGTTAAAAAGGAATGGTAAAAAGTGAAGACGAAAGGGTATAAAATGTCGGGCCCAGTAAAGCTGCCCAAGAGCTCATATTACTGTGTGTCTGTGTGGTAAGATTACTCGGAATTTCACGAAAAATGCTGATATTAATGGGCCACAGTGTGTGAGCATTACGTGGTTTGAATTACCTGCGATATCTTGCTTGCAACGTGGGTATACAAAAGAAATAACTATAATTGTCAGGAGTCGAACTCAGGAGACGTGACTGGAAGTTAAGTGTACACTACGCTCTGAGCTACAACTCCCAAGCAAAAGCTGGTCTTTCCCCAATCCCTCTAATATATACAGTGGAACCTCCAAACAAGGGACACTATGGGGCCAACGATTTTGTCCATTGTAGAGAGGTCGTCCCTATCTCGGAGGTCAAATAATACACAAAGTATTAAGCATGGGGTTTGAAACAAGGTCCTTTGTGAGAGGTCGTCCTTATCTCGGAGGTTAAAAATACTACACTAAAGTATTAGAAATGTGCAGGGTTTTTAAACAAAGTGTCCCTTGTAGAGAGGTCCGTCCTATCTCGGAGGTCAAATAATACACTAAGAATAGCATGGGGTTGAACAAGTGTCCCTTGTAGAGAGGTCGTCCCTATCTCGGAGGTCAAAAATACACTAAGTATTAGCATGGGGTTGAAACAAGTGTCCTTGTAGAGAGGTCGTCCTTATCTCGGAGGTAAAATACTACACTAAAGTATTAGCATGCAGGGTTTAAACAAGTGTCCCTTGTAGAGAGGTCGTCCCTATCTCGGAGGTCAAATAATACACTAAAGTATTAGCATGGGGTTGAAACGAGTGTCCTTTGTAGAGAGGTCGTCCTTATCTCGGAGGGTCCCTTATCGGAGGTTCCACTGTACACTACTGCCAGTGGTCGCCTGGAAAGCTTGCACACTGGCAGCCACCCTGTGTACAGTTGGTGAGAGAACCAAACCCACATATACATGTCTGAATCCATAATACGACGCTGTCACTATACTGTAATGTTGTGTTGATTTCGAAGGGCTTGTTTGAAAATTGCACTCACAGCTCATTTGTTCGCACAAACACACTGCTCTACAGTCGAGTAATATGTACACATACCACAATATTGTTAGCTTGACTGCTGTAGAATTGAGAACATGTTCGAGACTGTCAGTGCTAGTGGGGAGGGAGGGAGGGAGGGAGGGAGGGGCGAGGGCGAGAGGGAAAGGGGAGAGAGGGAGGGAGGAGAGGGAGGGAGGCGAGTAGAGGACATTAGAAGGAGAGGAGGGAAGAGTAGGGGATGTGGGAGGCGGGAGGGAGGGAGGACAGTGAAGGCGAGGGAGGAGGAGGGGGAGCAAAGCCGAGAGGAGGGGACAGAGAAGGGGAAGGAGGGAACGATAGATGCATAGTGCAATACGTAAGATTACCAATTGTGAGTAATCAAATTGGCCCAGTGACTGTCGAATGCAGGTTCAGTTAGTACTAATAGTATAGTATATCAATCAGCAAGCAGTGAAATTGGGTCAGTTCATATACATAGTCTAGTATATACATATCAGAGTGGACTTGTGCATGACTGTAAACAAACATAACAAAATTGACTCAACAAGTGCAAACCATCAACCATCAATGTTGTAAGCCATGCTGCTGTCTGCACCCCTAAGGCTAGTTACACCTTCCTACATACGCTGGAGTGGTCTAACTTGTCCTCAACATTACTCATTACCAGTGATAGTACTTACTGAAGTTGTCTACCAACTTTCAATGAAAAGCACTGAAGTGCAAACCCTCGGCGAACTGCACACACACACACAGACCAACTACCGTAACCCTCGCTGCGCATGCACGCCGAGGGTTAATTAGAACTCCTCTGTATGACCTATTAGTGGAGACGTGCCTACACAACAGGCTCGAAGTTCTCCCAAGAACTACAGTGGAACGTGGAACAAGGGACACTATGGGGCCAGTAATTTGTTCCTTGTAGAGAGGTCGTCCCTATCTCGGAGGTCAAATAATACGCTGAAGTATTAGCATGGGGTTGAAACAAGTGTCCTTTGACTTAGTTGACGTATATATGCCCCGTCAAATGTTTCGGCTGCTTTAGAGTCACTTTGATTTGTTACTTTCACTCAATGTCAAAATTAAACCCATATTGCACAGTAATGTACGTACATAGGTACGCAATTAGCATAAAGTGGGAAGCTGTGACAGGTGGTGTGGGTAGAAGTTGTGTGCAACGAAAGATCCAACAAACTTGCCTGTGCAACTATTTACTATACAGCATTTTGTCTGGCCTGGCCCTCTTCCGACACAGCCTCGGCTTCTGCCGTTCAGTGGGGTGGGGACAATTTAGAGAAATATAGGGGGTATGGTATGGAAAAGCTACCCCAGCCAACACTGCTCTCACTGTTGATTTGGGCTGAAGAAATTCAGGGGGGTTAAATCGAAGAATAACCTTGTACATATGAGAGCCGTTTTGTCCTCATTATATATTTTTGAGCGTATCCATAGATCCAGCGCTCACAGTGAGTATGTCTGTTCAAATACATAGATGCTCACTTTTTTTCCTGGGTATGTAAAATAAAAACAGTGTACCAACCTCTCTGTAGTATGTTGGGATCTCCTTCACTCTGCCCAGAAATGACCATCTCCACCAACTGATTGTAGCTACAGGTGTGGACCAGGGAGTGCATCTCTTTCTCCTGTGGTGTATATACATGGGAGATAGGAGATAGGGGTGGTTAGTTTGGCGAAACGGAAACCAACTTTGTACTAGTGCTCATCCAGTTTCAGTTCGTCCTTAACTCCCCAGTTTAATCAGCCTATAGCCAATTTTCTGAAGAATCTTCATTCAGTGACCATTTTTGTCATACATATGACAGTCACAAAAGAGATGTATCATAACTTAAGACATCACGAAAACACAATCGTGTTTCTAAATGCAACGCATTTTAGGCGAGCGAATGAGAGTAGTTCAACTTTTCGCAATCGTATTAACCCCTTCCCGGTAACCCCTATCTTACTTCACACTCTCCCTCCCTCACTCCCTTTCTCCCTCCCTCCCTCCCTCCCCTCTTCCTAATCCTTCTTCCTAACCCTACCTGAGGGTCAGGTAGCCAGCCATGGTACAGCGGCACGTTGAGAAGATCAAAGATTACGATTTCGCTCGTGAATTCGAACCCCTTCACAGAGTCAAAACGAACGTTCACATCCAGTCCTGTTTGCAGCTGTAGGGCGAAGAGAGACGGACATTAATGGTGCAGGGGGGTGACTATTGTACGTATGTAGGAATAGTATCCTAGTGTGCTTGCTAAAGACCCCATAAACTGGACTGGAGTCCGAGTCCCTCATACACACACCATGAAAAAACATGTTTATAGCATACTAGCTAAAAGTATAATATCAGAGGAAAAGAAAGAACCTCCCCCACCCAAGCACACAAAACACAGACAATAACATACCCAAGCATACAAAAACACAGACAATAACATATAAACAGAAAGAAAGAGGCAGGACCCTGGGTGCCCAGCCTTGAGAACTGGGGCGGTAGGTTAAAGAGTCTTTTATGGGCCCCAACTCTCCCTACACACCCAGTGTCCCAACCTCCCTTACACGAAAATATATAGATATGCACACTCTATCAGTGAGAATTCCGCAAGGCAATGTCCCAACTGATGGCGTTAGCCTAATTCTCTCTCATCAGCTCCAGGCCATCAGGTCTCCATTTCCACCTCCCACTAAAGACCCTCGTTAATTCAATTAGCTCACGTCGCCACGGTGAATGCCCAGGCAGGTGCACGTACTCGTAGCAAAAAAATTGCAGCGAAATTTTCGTTCCTCAGCTAATGGTGATACTGTAGGTCGTTATAAGGTCTGACGAGTATCACGGTCGACTAAGTAAAACAAACACACGACCAAGCATTCGTGACACGCAGAGTTGGACAGAACCACGTGAAACACTTGTGGTTTATCAGAAATGGAAATTATGGTCACGCATTGTTCCGACCCACCATAAACTACAGTAGGCAAACCCAATGAGGAGGTGTGATCCATAAATGGCTCAGCCGTGAAATTGGGCAAGACCAAGTGAACCAGCTCTGGTTTTTCAGCAGTGGATATTATGGTCATGTTTTTCACAGACCCACTTTGAACTAGACAAAAGAAGGACAGAACACGATGTGCAGTGAGCCACAAGTGGCTCAGCCGTGAAAAACGAAGCTTATTATAAGCTCTTCTAAATACAGTGGAACCTCTGACAAGGGACCCTCCTTGGAGCCTCCGAACAAGGGACACTATGGGGCCAAGATTTTGTCCCTTGTAGAGAGGTCGTCCCTATCTCGGAGGTCAAATAATACACTAAAGTATTAGCATGGGGTTGAAACAAGTGTCCTTTGTAGAGAGGTCGTCCCTATCTCGGAGGGTCCCTTATCAGAGGTTCCACTGTATTCATAATGCATAGTGTTGCTGTATGTAGTTAGCTACTACATATGTATGCAAAGTATTGGTTTGGCTTCATAGCTTGCTGCGATAGCTCCTTTTGGTTGTGGTTACAGTATGTGGCGTGATGGTAATTTCTACTGTAGAGACTGTACAGCATGCGGGTTTTTTTAACAAAGTGGCGAAAATATATGGCTTGTGTGGTGGTAGTGTATAGTGTTGTGGATTTGAGCTAATGCAAAGTGGGTTTAGAATCCCACCCAAGGCAGCTTTCCGGGGTGCAGCTGTCCTAGGTTTAGTTTAGTTGCTTTGCATCTATTTTGCGACCTATAATAATTATCTACAACACACTAGAGGAGGACGGAAACCAGCTATATACCTTTGGGAAGGAGGCCATGGCGTCTTGAATGTTCTGCTCATAATTGGCTCTCTCGCCTTCCGACAGATCCTGTGTGGAATGATATGAGGATCAGCTCACTCCTCCTTATCCCTTCTCTCCCCTTTTCTTCCATCCTCTCCCTCTTTTGCACTTGTACCAATACATTACTAATACACACACACACACACACACACACACACACACACACACACACACACACACACACACACACACACACACACACACACACACACACACACACACACACACGCGATGAACCACTCCACCCATTAGTACTGTACCTCAACAGTTGTAACTTGCAACAGTTGTAACTTCAAAAGTGTTAGGAAAACCAGAGTCAATCCTCTCTGCTGTCTTACTGACAGAAGAACTATAGGGCTTTCCCGATTAGTGTGATGTCACCAAATGGTACTGTCACACATTTCTGAGGCATTCTCTAAGTTCCAAAAGGTCTCAGCATTACATCTATACATTCTCTGTGGCTATTATGCTATATACTTTTCATGCCTTCAGACCCTAATTCAGGGATGCACCTGTTGTGTAGTACAATTTGCTCAGTTTCAGATCCTAAATTACAGGGTCCGCCTGTTGTGTAAATACAGTACCATTAGGTTATTTTGAGATTCTAATGAGAGGGGTCACCCCCTGGTATAAATACCATTAGCATATTTTCAGATCCTAACGAGAGGGTCACCCCGTGGTGTAGATTGTAGATATATAGATACCTGTGGCATGTTCTCTATGATGGCAGTTCCTAGGAGATCCATGAGCGCCGTCGAGGTGACCACGGTTTCCCCGGCAACCAGCTTCATGCGGTCGGTGAGTAAGAGAACGTTGCACAGCGCCAGGAGAGGGCACGGTCCGTTCTCGTTCTGAGTGGGGCCCGAGTAGGAATGGGGTCATGAGAACGGAACCTCGAGACTTTATAAAGGAGGGTTTATGGTGGCTATATTATGCAGGGGGAAGTTTTGGGAGGTGGCAAGTTTTTGTATCATCGGTACTTGGTCCAGTACGTATTACACATCGCAGGCATTTTGCACGTGAAAACTAAACAGATCGTGTTTTACAAAGGTGGAAAAAAGAAGAGAAGACTGCAATTTTCAAGCAGTTTAATTTTCATGTGTCAGGTTGTATGATAAAAATGACAGTTGAAACCCGCTGTTAAACTAACCTGTGTGATGACAGGGACAAACCCTCCTTTCCACTCTACCCACTTGAGCTGGTAGATACTTGTACTGTCTGCTGGAGTGGTCTGGTGATAGAGAGGGAGGAGGGAGAGAGAGGAGAGAGGGAGAAGGGAGGGAGAGAGGGAGGGAGGAGGGAGAGAGGGAGAGGAGAGAGCGAGATAGGAAAGATTTAGGGGAGGAGGGAGAGAGAGGAGAGAGGAGGAGGGAGAGAGGTGAGAGAGAGATGGAGCGAGAGAAGGAGCGAGAGAAGGAAGGAGGGTGATATCAAATCGCATGCAACCAAATCGTACCATACAGCATTCTCTTTACCTCTCTCCCTCCATCCCCATCCACCGTGGCTGCATCACCGTCAACTGGGGTTGCCATGGGTCCGAGATCACGTGACTCGCCACCACCACCACCGCAGTCAGGTTTTTCCCCTTCAGTCGTCGTCTCGGACATCAGGCAAACTAAAGAGGGAGAGGGCTGTACATACGGTAGCGGCAGCTTTCTGGGTGAAGTTGATACATACGTACATCGTACCACACACAACGCTCGCAACACAGCGTTCACTGTCCTACCCCACTCACAGAGGTGGCTGTACACGTCTCGGTAAAGGCAGGCCCCCGAAGGTCAAAGTTTCCACCTCTCATGCGCGTGCGTACATAATCAAGCGGCTACACGTACTTTATAGAGCTCGTGCTGCATGAAATTAGTTGAGAAGAGTGAGAAAGATGCAGTGGTGTTATAGAACTGGCTGGCTGACGGTAACTGCATGGCTACTCCTGACGTGGCTGAGAAGAGCCAGCTGCGAGCTGTTTGTCATTCACCTCAACGCCACGACCAAGTGAGTGAGCTAGCTAACCACGGCAGCATGCAACAGCTACGCCCAGCTGCAAGTGCAATCCGCGTGCAAAGCTGGCTAGAGCAGTCCCGGGCAATGGCCTTGGTCTTTTGCTCTGTGGGTGCGCGCAAGTATGCTATGAACTATAATTTCATGCATACTGAGTGAGAGTGTACTGTGCCATAGCACAGTGGTTTGAGGTGTGCCTTTGTGTTGTGTTGTAGATTCGAACCCCTACCAGCTGAGTTGCCTTGGTAGCTCAGTTGGTAGAGCGCTCGCCTAGACTGCAGAGTGTCGTGGGTTCGAATCCCACCCAGGGCAGCTCTTCTTCTTTTCTTTGTTTGAGCTGTCCTTGGTGTAGTTGACTTGTTTGCCTTGCCTTGCCTTTCTACTTCGCTACCAAGTTGTTGAGACATGCATGCCCTGGAATAGTTTCATGTTTTGCACTACTGAAAGTGCAAGTGTGCATGGAGCATAGAGAAGCTCCGTGTTCGCACAAATGGAAGTTGCAGCCCTGGCATTGTCACTCTAGTAACCTATTTGGGTCACGCGGAGCTTGACATCTTGAACATGCAGCTAACAATGTCTGGACACAATGGAGATTGCCTTTGGAACTGATATATGGATGGGCTTGTGTCCATAATGTGTGAATGGTCACCCTAATTTGACCCACTTCAAAAACTTGTTGCGAAGACTGTAGCAAGGCTGTATACTTAACCGTATGAGGATAAAGTAGGAAGGGACACCGACTTCGCTGCTTTTGTTGTGTAATCCAGAGGTTCGTATGGGTTGCAAATATGTGTACGGCACTGTGTCATGGTTATACCTACATACAGAAGGCTGATATGTGACTGTGTGTTGAGCAAACTTTGTCAATAGTAGGTTTTTTTTTAAATAGAAGGGTATGTATGCAGGAACTTGGGGGGAGGGGGGTAAGGACATGTTTGTTGCTATTGCCAGTTTATACTGCCTCGCTGGTGGTAGTTTAAGCCTCACTTGGTTTCCTTTTGAGCTCGTTCCGTGTTTGCAGTTACGATTAATACCTTCCTATTCAGTTCATTATCACCCGCAGACACAGCACTGCCCCAGTGTATCCTTGGGCATGCAAGCATGGATATGTATACATTATGAGCTAGTTCAAGCGTGGATTGTGCATATGGTCAACCCTCCCCCCTGGCTACCCCCTGTAGCCGTTGTTCCATTCCTGTAGTGTGTTATTAGCCCAGATCCTCCCCCCTACCCCCTCCACCTCCCCCTAGCTATATACTGTTATTGCTGCTATGTATTATGACCGCAAGGCCAATAGACTGTACCATGTTATGCGTGTGTACTGTCGTTTCAAATACCGTGGGAGCCATCTTAGCTAGCCAGCACTCCTCCTTCCCTGGAGAGCTCACACCAGTGGGATAAAAGGAGTCAATCACTGGCCCAAGTCCTTCCGGTGTACCCAGCTGCCTCCCACAGAGAACTCCCACTTTCACTTCAAGAACTAGCTCAAGAGATTTATTGCTGGGGACAATCAGCCTCACTTGCAACAAATTTAGTAGATGGTCCCAATAACAGCACGCCTACTATTGGGGGTCAAAGTGTCCTATGCTATTTGGGGGTTTGGGGGTCAAAGTGTCCTGTGCTATTTGGGGGTTTGGGGGTCAAAGTATCCCCTATTCAGGGGAAATGAAGAGATAGAGGGACTATGTCCCCCTGGCGCACTCTGGCGCCAACCTTGCTAACTTCCACTTGTGGTTTCCTGTTTCGATTCATATCTAAGGGGATGCTTGCATGACTGCATTTCCTTGTGCTAATCAACGTCATTACCTAGAAGCTAGAAGCTACAAGCTACAAGCTACGGTATCCCAGGAGGGAAGGAAGATCTACAAGTAAATGAACCTCATCCTTAATGGATGCCTATTGTAATAAGTGTCTTGGTTACCAGGAATTGAACACGGAATGGAATGGAATTGAACACAGAACGGAAGCTTCAGTTTGCCTTTCCTATCTATAAAGTGTTGCATACTCCCAACACCACAGGTAAGAAACAAAGGAAGCTGGGAATTTCACTAGAAATGTGTGCAATGAGCAACAAACAGCGAAAGCTCAAGAAGTACGTATGTGGATTGCATGGCAATAAACAACAAAAGAATGACAGTATTATGTTGTTGGGTGTTGAAATTGGACCTCCGGTATTTCATATCTACAGCATCTGTTGACAGGAGTCATCTTATGTGGTTTGATGTCCTCTGGGGCATGTCGCTATTACTAGAATTACCAGTTCCCAAGACCCGTTATATCACTGCTGATATCGTGTGTTCATGTTGGTAGACATTTGCTCTACTTATTGGCAGATATTGCTTGGTGTGTGGGTATGGATTGAGGGTGGCGCCAACAAATGACTCGTAACCAGTGAGAACATGCGATACCCCGTGTTTTTCCGTGAGAAAAGCACGAGTATCGATATGCGATAACATGTTTATCCCCGAGAAAAGCAAGTGATGCCAGCTTTAAGAATTTCGACCTGCGATACAGTATGTTAATAACATGTACTTTCCAGAGCTGTGTCTTTGTATCCTGAATCATGTGTGACATCAGGTCTGACATAATACTCCGAGAAAAACACCCATGTTTCCTAATTTCTGGCTGACAAAGTGAGTGAGTGGATGACTTACATTCACAGCTATGGATGTATTGCACTTTTAGTTGAAGGACCAGCCGTACATAATGCTAATTGGCTTGTGGTGTACTTTCTTAGTGCTTTAATTGGCGAGCAACTTGAGTTGTCTAGTCTTCTGAATTTTAATTTAATATCCAACAGTGAGGTCTGTGGCACATGTATATACTTCCTCATGAGTAACCCAACTCCCCTTCACTCCTCATTTGGACTTGCCAGGTGTGAAGTTCTAGTCCAGAGGTGTAACCCACTGACCTTGCAACCTTACACCTCCTTCCCTCCCTCCCTCCGTCCTTCCTTCTCTCCCACCTCTCCCATTCCTCCCATCCCTCCTATCCATCCTTCCCTCCCTCTCTCCCTCCCTCCCTCCCTCCCTCCCTCCTTCTATCTCTCCCTTGGTTATACACAAGTTGCAACCTGGCATCACACTATGTGCCCAACAGAGCCACCCTATCTGGTTCAGGTGTCAAATGGAACTTCACAGATAACTTGATTCTCTGTAAACAGTCATAAATCGCTGCCTCAGGTTATGCACACTATGTGAACCACTCTATATATCATATTTCACTGATCTCTCTTTAATTTCTGTAAACAAGTCAACAAATCTGAACTTTACCACCTCTGGTGATCCCTTTGTGTGTGTAAACTGAAGCCATTCTATCTGGTTCTGTACCATACATATCTCACATTCACTGATCTCACTTCATTCCTGTAAACAAGTCACTTGCATAGAATTGTAACTCTCATTGATGCCTGTCAATAGGTGGGTAAATAGAGTCACTCTATCTGGTTCTGCATCATTGGCTGGTGAAGTGAGCCGACCTAGTCTTCTGAATGTGGGGATTTGCTATTAAATGTGACATGTACCGTAATGTTCTACGTGATTCTTAATACGGGAGAAATGTGGGGAAAATCAAACTGCTCGCGCATTCCTTCAGTTATCTCACCGATCGAGCTTCATTTGTGTAAACTTTTTGTATCAATCGATCTGGTTCACCTGTGAATACCTGTGGGTATATACCAGTGTACAAGGACATGTTAATTCCCAGGAATGTGCTAATGTGATCTCATGAGGACCAGTGCACCAGCCCATTGTACACTGCAAAATTCAATTGAGTGTTGTACTGAAGGAATAGCCACAACACCCATTCAGCATGAAAATATGATTTTGCAATCATAATATTCTTACCACCTGTATGTACTTGCATGTGTGGGTACATCTATTGTGACTATATACTTGGGTTTGCATGTATATATTTGGCAAGTGCTAGATCCTATCCTGATTGGTTACCCTTCGCAAGTACAATGATGCGATCAGCATGACAATCCGAATTTATTCCACATATGTACTAACAATATTGTTGCGCATGCACAAATCCTCATACAGTGGATAAGGGACACTATGGGACCAACGATTTTAGCACCTTGTAGAGAGGTCGTTCCAATCTCGGAGGTCAAATAATACACCAAAGGATTACAGTATAACCTCTGATAAGGGACCTTCCGAGATAGGGACGAACCTCTCTACAAGGGACAATCTTAGGCCCCATAGTGTCCCTTGTTCAGAGGTTCTACTGTAGCATGGGGTTGATTCAAGTGTCCTTTGCTCGGAGGGTCCTGTATCGGAGGTTCCACTGTATTTAGAAGAGCTCTGGACTTAGTTTTACTCTGACATGCAGTTGTGTATGGTCGAGTGTAGCCCATCCCATTGCTGTCCAGCCAATAGTAACAATGACTACTGGAGTGTGGGGTGACAATGGAGAAAGAGGTGTTGACAGGTGACAGTAGTAGTAGGCCAGGTGCTCTTCTTCCTCCTTGGCCTGTTAGTGCCTGTCATGGCGATATCTACCATGGCAACTCTCAATGGCACCACGTATGTGTTTAGTCCATGCAGCTTGGCCCAAGGTGGCCCTAGCACCTTGGGCGTGGGAGAGAGGCTGGGTAGAAAGGAAGTGGACTGAACTGGAGACTGTCTCATAGACCCAGTTAGACAAAAGAGTGTGGTGGACTATTTATTGGTATAGGAGAGAGAGAGAGAGTTATACTAAGAGAAAGGGAGGCAAGAGAAATGGGGAAAAGAAGGAGAGAGTGGGAGGGCCCAGAATTTTGCTATGAAAACTGACAATTGAATTAAATTTCATTTGGTATTTCCGTGATAATGTCCAGTAGCAATATGTAATGTGTTGTGTTGAGCAAGAGTAGTCTGTGTGCTCTTCATATTGCACTGGTATATATACATTCACATTGAGAACACCCAATACTTATTGGATTTTAATTGACCGGTACATTATATGATATCTGATGGATATTGGCAACTACAACTGGCAGTAGTACTTAAAAGGATTGGAAAAGACCAGCTTAGTTGTAGCTAAGTTCAGAGTGCACTGGACTTCTAGTCACGACAATGGTGTTCAAATCTTGACAAAAGTCGAATCGTTGTCTTTCTCTCCTGATCGGTGTATTTGCAACATCCCAGTAGCAGCTCTTGAGGCTTGCAAATGAGATCAGGCACAACCTGATGCCATGTAGTAAACGTGCATTCTTAGTGCGAATCCTTCATCCGATGCCACACTTGGGGCTATGCATTGCTTCCATCCGATGCCATGTTTGGGCTAATGCAGATGTGGATCGTTACATCACACGAGACTACTGGGTGTGCTTCTAAAGGTGTCTGTTGACCTTCTCTGAAAAGCATGAAACTTGACCAAAAGGCTTAGTATGCTGGGAAAGTATGGGAGGATGGGGTGTGTGTGCTATTCAAGGCACCGTCCATCTACACCTCTCTACTGAATAGAGATATACTGGGCACACACATGTAGTGTTGCGCTGTTTTAACACACATGTCATACTAATACAGTTTGCGGTATGTGTATGTTGTTGGGGGAGGGACAACTTTAGCTGATTTTGTTGACATTTGTCACGTATACCCAACAAAAGGTGTCCCTTATTGTGGTGCCACAGAGAGAACTTGATGCAAAAAAGCTGGAGATGAGCCACAGACTGGAGACTCAGAGGACGAGAGAGACGAAGAGCGACGGAGGGACAGAAACGGCAGACCAGCGCGAAGCAGACGAAGAAGAACACAGTAACACAGATAAATAACGACTAGCATCAGACACGAAGACCTTCTACATAACTTCCCTACATCTCGACTCCTCTAGCGTCTCTTTGGATGTGCACCTTGGAGATAAAGTCACTGTGATTTGTCCTCCTGACAGATATGACAATATCCTCTATCTCGTAAGTCCTCACAGTCTTTATATACCCGACACGAGTTTTATCGATTAAAAGCCAATGTGTGGCAGTATTAAGGCTAAATTGAGAATCTATCTCCCCTTCCCTTCAGAAACTACGAACCCACGAAACGGAACGGCGACCAGAAAAGCAAGAGGAAAGCAGCACGAAGAAGCCACAAGACACACCGCGCCGGAAGGCAAGCAAACGACGGAAGGAGCAAAGACGAAAGCAACACGACAAAGAGACGGAAAGGAACGACACGTACCACCACTCTTACGGCCGCAATCACTACATATCCTAAGTACCTTCACACCTTCCTCCCTCCCCTCTTCCCTCTTCCCACAGAGGACAATAGAGCAGCTAATCCACTGCAATGCCTCAGCCCTCCCTCCCAGCTTCACGGCCACAGACCTCGACCCCTACATTGATGTCGGCTGGTTGCTCCGGCTCATCGGGGCCCTCCTTCGACATCGACGTCAAACGAACCCCGGCCTTCCTCGAAACTACCATCCCCTTCAGAAAAGGCGGCACCTTTTACTTCACAAGTATGCAATGATATGTACTTGCTGCGAGAGGCAAAGTCACATGAAACTTCAAATCTGTGATTATGATAGCCCATGCAGCAATCCTGTGAATAGTTTTATTGCGTGCAACATGTCGCATGGACCAGCCATCATACCCATACGTACCTTTGAAGACGCATGCAACATTCATCATATATTATGCAACCTATATGTATGTACTTCTATGTACAAACATAAATGTACCATGCAATGTTGACCTTTCCCTCCCTCCCTCATCTCTCTCCCTCATCTCCCTCCCTCCCTCCTCCCTCCCTCCTCCCTCCTCCCTCCCCCTCCTCCCTCCCTCCCTCCCTCCCTCTCCGTCTCTCCAGGTTTCACTGATGGGACTGCATTCAGTGCTGCAGCGAAGCCTACGGTAGGAGGTGACTGTACCAAAGGCCTCTCACTGGTGTTCAACGTCATTGGTACGTTTTTCATTAACTCATACCTTCTCTTATAACTCATGCGTGCTGTACTAACCAAAGGTCCTGAGTTCGATTCCCGATGTTACCGGGTTTTTTTTCTTTTCATATATAATATATATTATGGCTTGTTCATAAGCCATCCATGATCGAAAGTGCCAACTACATCCATTGAACTACAGTGGAACCTCCGATAAGGGACCCTCCGAGATAGGGACGACCTCTCTACAAAGGACACTTGTTTCAACCCCATGCCAACACTTTAGTCTAAGATAGGGATGACCACTCTATATACAAGGGACAAAATCTTTGGCCCCATAGTGTCCCTTGTTCAGAGGCTCGACTGTAGTTAAAGTCACTGAGACTGTATATACCCAGTTCCATTGCATGATAGGTTAATATCCGATAAGCATTGTCTGAAAACGAATGCAACACATTTTGGTGAACAAATGCTCAACAGTGTAAACCACTCTACGTGATCTTTGGACGTGGGGCTTGTCCAGCGTGACTGTATCGGATGGTATGGTATGAATATTGCGCAATTCAGACAACTAGGTGGGCTTACTTCGATTACATTGCACACATTTGACATAATAAATTGTGCAGTTGATCTTTGCATACTTCCATTAGATGCACACCGGTTGTTGTTCCCTGAATATGGCATGCAATTAGCAATAATTAGTAACTCATTAGAAACTAGTTCTACAGTGTCCTTCTGAGAAACTTGTCTTCATGGATAACTGCACATGCGCCGATATTCTTACTGCCCCATTTGTGCAATGATAGACCAATTAGATGGCTTGTAATATTTGGGAGGAGGAAAAAAACAGGACAGGACAGCCTCTCTACAAAGGACACTTGTTTCAACCCCATGCTAATATTTTAGTGTATTATTTGACCTCCGAGATAGGGACGACCTCTCCACAAAGGACACTTGTTTCAACCCCATGCTAATACTTTAGTGTATTATTTGACCTACAAGATAGGGGACGACCTCTCTACAAGGGACAAAATCGTTGGCTCCATAGTGTCCCTTGTTCAGAGGTTCCACTGTATACAGTTGAACCCCTCTCGAATGGGACAGAGATAGTGTCCATATTAGCTGCATTCTATATACAGTATGACAGGGTGCCCTCATTTCAGGAGTGTCCTTAGGGAGATCGATTCAACTGTACTTGTCATTCACAAAAGTTGGTAACTCCGTCTTCTCGCAGATAGTTCAATTTCATGAACAGCATGTATTTTGATGATTCTATTTAATGAGCAACGTGTATTACGATGATTCTCTTTCATGGAAGACATGTATCTCGCTGCAGATCCTGACCAAACACCGCCTCCTCCTGCAGTCAATAGTGCTGTGTCAGCAACTGCCCCAACACCTGTCCCTACTACTGCCCCCAGACCAGGTCTGTCCATCACCCACATCACCCAACCACCATGAGATTAAATGGGGGAAATCTAACAGCACCTCCCATAGTTTTACAGTGGAACCTCCGATAAGGGACCCTGCAAGATAGGGACAACCTCTCTACAAGGGACACTTGTTTCAACCCCATGCTAATACTTTAGTGACCTCTGAGATAGGGACGACCTCTCTACAAGGGACACTTGTTTCAACCCCATGCTAATACTTTAGTGACCTCCGAGATAGGGATGACCTCTACAAGGGACAAAATCCTTGGCCCCATAGTGTCCCTTGTTCAGAGGTTCCACTATAATATGACCATTAGGCAAGATAATTATGTAAGTATGGCTAGGCCAAGATTGATGACAGTGAACATCCAAAAAAGACCCTCTGAAAAAAAGGACACCCTTTATAACAACTTCAGTTCTGCCCCATTGACACCCCTTGTATACTGTAATGATCTGTTTTTCTCTCTCTCTCAGAGGTGGACGTGTCTGTGGACAGCAGTCCAGAGTTCCTTGCACTGAGTGGCAGCTACTCTTACCATACGATATCACCAATGTCTTTGGTCTTTGTGTGTCTTCTTCTGTCCGTTTCATTGTTCATTACATCATAGTGTTGGTGTGCACAATAATTATATTTATGATTGTCTCAATTATAAAATGCACCCTCTTGCAGTCTGTCTTATCTGTGTGAAATGATCATCAATTAATAATCACTCAATAGAGTTATATAGCTCAAGGGGTGATGTGTGTTCAAGAGGAGAAGTGTATATTATAATTATGCTGCCAGCAGCTGGTGAGCAAAGGGGGCATGCACAGCATTAATGTGTGCATACATGGTCATTCTGGTCACGTGTGTGGAGACGTTTCTCACTCATGGAGCCAACATCACTCCTTCACATGCTCAATATGACTGACGGCATGTGTAGTGCGCATGACAAATGTCACTTAGTATTCTACTACAGTGGAACCTCCGATCAAGAGACACTAATATGGGGCCAAAGATTTTCTCCTTTGTAGAGAGGTCACCAGGTCAAATAGTACACTAAAGTATTAGCATGGAACAAGTGTCCCTTGTAGAGAGGTCGTCGTCCTTATCTTGGAAGGTCCCTTATCGGAGGTTCCACTGTAGTTTGATGAGAATGACAAAAATGTCTGATGACAATGATTATGATGATGGTGAAGTTACCCCACATGCATGTTTCTGAGGCAGTGGGCAAATTGAAAGGACCATTCATTATGATGTATTCTAAAGACGTAGAAGGAACCAATTGAAAATATCGCACATAGCAGAGAGCCAAATTTCTCCTCCCCTACAACTATCTAACACAAAGAACGCTTTCCTAGCTATCAAGTGGCTGGAAGTGCTCTCAAACCCATCCCCCCAAGCTCCCCAAGTAGCTATGCATGGAGAGTAATCCTGCGTATTTTGGGATGGTAAAAGGAAGGGAGATGAGATGCTAAGACAAGGTGTATATAACTGTTCGGCGATTGAAGCGCAGGCAAGATAATTTGCTTCAGAACAATAAACTTGCTAAACTCTTCACTAGGAATGAAAAGAAAAAGTTTTGGTCAGAGATCCGTTGGCTCAATCATACTCAACCAAGATCGATACCTTGTGTGGATGGTGTTTCTGGTAGTACGGGTATTATATTGCCAATATAATATTTGCCTCGAAATTTAAGAGTTCTTAACAGAAATCCCAATGCTCTTCAAATCTCTTTCTATTCAACGCTGTCACTGACACACTTATAAGACATGAGGTGTATTTTTCAGAAGAAGATGTTGTGGAGGCCATTCATGAACTTAATCCACGCAAGTATGATGCCGGTGGGGTATGCACAGACGCTTCTTCTGTCATCTCGGAGTTTCTTGCTATATACATTTTTCACTTCTGTTGTCAGACACGGATATGTGCCAGGTTGCATTCGTGACTGTGTCACCACGCCCATATTGAAGGGAAATAAGGACCCAGTCATGCAGTCAAAACTACCGCCCAATTGCTCTGGCTTCTAGTCTAAGTAAGATCCTTGAACGCCTCATTCTACATAAGTATTCCACCTATACGTATAATAGTCCACTGCAATTTGGTTTCAAATCAGGCTATTCAACAACGTTATGCACTGGCATCGTGAAGAATAGCTATAGTTTCTCGTTACATTACATCTTGTCTAGCTCGTTTTGTGTGTCTAATGGCGTTAGGCAAGGCAGTGTGCTCTCTCCTGTTTTGTTTTCTATTATACTTGGATGAGTTGCTAGATATGTTGAGTGATAGTAATGTTGGTTGTTATTGGGGTGGTCATTTTGCTGGTGCTGTCTGCTATGCCGATGATATTGTTTTACTGGCTCCCTCTGCTTCAGCCCTCCGACGCATGCTGAGTATCTGTGATTCACTTGCAACTTCTCATGGGCTACTTTTCAATGCCGACAAAACTCAATTAGTTTTCGTGCACGGAATTCAAATACACTGCTTCCTTGTATCATGTTCAACAACACTAAGTTGCAGTATCTTGATAGAGTTTTGCACCTTACTGTTTTTCATTGTATGGTATCACCCTCTGGTCACTCTCTTCACCTTCCATTAGACTCATTGAGGTTGCTCTGAATAAAGTATTTATGGAACCTCAGCAACATGTCACACACTGGGATTGTCCATAGCGTTGCACAAATATTTACAATCAGTAACATTCTGTATGATCGTTTCTGTTCTTTCTTTTCTCATACTAGCTACCATTTTCTTCCTCTATCCTTGTGAGGTGTTTTTTTAATTCTTCCAATTAGGTTTACACTTTTACAATTTTGTTCATGGATATGATCATTATAGACATTTCATGGATTCAGACCTTTTTGTGCCCACATCATTAGACAATTGAGGTCAATCTATGGATTACGCTCACACTTGTGAGGATATTGTTATATACTTTTCTATGTTCCTAAGTTGATATGTTATTTTTTGTTTAGTCATGCTTATCCTCTCCTGTGAGCAGACCAGTGGTCGGTCCAGGAGCCCGCAAGCCCTCGGCTGGCGAAGGGAAATAGTCCAGTCGGCCACTGGTCTGCTTTATATTTTTTATTTGCCTATGCTAGCTCTAGCTATCTTGGTGTGTTGAATAATTGGCGAGCGGGAGCGAGCTAACCGAACGGCGCGATTTTTCATTGGCGAGCGGGAGCGAGCCAACCTAGTCGTTCGTTCGAGCGGAATTTTCTATAGTGGAAATGTTGAACATTGTTGGCGAGCGGGAGCGACCCAACTTGGGATTTGCCCGCGATGTTCGGGCTGCATAACCTTCCGTCAGCGCACAGCTTTCCTTTCGTGAAGCAAGACAGATCTATATACCAGTTGCCGTTACATGCGTACTGTACATTGGCAGTACTTACTTTCGTGGTCCACCAGGCATGCAGCAGTAACTGCACGAGCAATCCTAGCTTACGTTGAAGTTGCACCTTCGAACCATGAAGATTGGGAAGAGGTACAGCCTCGGTCAGTCACCGAAGGTTGCATCGCATGCTGTGGAATGGAGAATTCTCTGGCTGGCTAGATCGATCGGCGAGCGTGTGAAGCGCGTAAGAAGCTGCGCATGCGCAGTTACACGACGCACCAACGATAAATTCCGCTCGAACCAACGACTATATAGGTTGGCTCGCTCCCGCCAATAATTGTAGCACCCACTCCGCACCATTAGCCACACTGCTGCTGTACAAACTTGCAGTTGCTGTACAAATTTGCTGTGCTATATGTACACAAGGCTTTCCTAAATAGGTTAGCAAGGATTGTGCGTGGGCGTATGTTTCAGATATTTTTTCAATGGCACAGCAAAAACGCTGGTGATTTATGGTGAATTTAGGTATATTTTTCGGATTTTTCCTACCTTGTTTTCCAAACTCATTAGCATATTCATATTCCTCCTCAATACATTCTCTATGGGAGAGAAAACTCGTGCGCGACTCACCCAGGAGCGAACGGTCCGTCTCCATCATGCGCAGTGCTAATTTTGCGCTATAGAAAAAACGAAGCAGGCCACTGCGCATGATGGAGATGGAAAACAAGGTAGGAAAAATCCGAAAAATATACCTAAATTCACCATAAATCACCAGCGTTTTTGCTGTGCCATTGAAAAAATATCTGAAACATACGCCCACGCACACTCGTTGCTAATGGGTGGCATAATTATCCATTGTGCTGTAGTTACTACAGAGACATGTACCAAGTGAGTTTGATGATGGCAAGTATGCTCTATTTGTGCTGCCCGTTCATAGAGCATACTTGCCATCATCACATAAATGAAAAGCACTAAAGTGCAAACCCTCGGCGAACTGCGCATGCGCGGTAGCACTAATTCATGGGCTGCTCGTGGTATAGTAGCTCGCGCAGAGTCTGGCACGGGCTAGCTACAGTAGTAGATAGCATGCGGGAGTCGCCCTTCGTTGTGACTTCTTGTGCCTCCAAGGTACACAGAGCAGGCGGACCCGGTCGAGGTAAGCCTTGCTAATTTGCATATTGGCTTGTTCACTTGGTTTCACGCCATAACTTCTGAACGCGGCACTTTTACAAAAATCGCCATTATAAAAATGAAGCGGGTGTAGCGCTGAACCCGTTGGTGTCGCTATTTTACCTGTTTGTCGCGCGTGGTGGCAGAAAACGTGGACAGACAGACAGACAGACGGACAGACCAAGTACTGTAACCCTCGCTGCGCATGCGCGCCGAGGGTTAATAATACCATTTGCGAATAAAACTATGTCAGATTACCGTAACATTTCAAGATCGTTGCATAGGAGAGAATTTTTTTAAGGCACAGTATTAACATGTTTTTTCATGAGTGCTGACTACAAGACTAATTAACATGAATAGTATAATACATGAGTTATTACAAATGAGAACAAGAGACGAACTACAAAACATGCTAATTAACGAAATGATGAATATAATTATGTGATTCATCATCACAATAGAACTGGACCATTAACACATTGTTACACACATGAAGTACATTTTTAGAAGCCTTATTATGCTACAAAGATGATAGTGGATACAATTACATGAAACATGGGATAATAAGGCTAAGGAGAGCAACAAGTGGTAGGAAAAGGGGTGTGGTCTAGAGATTGACTGCTATATGGATAGCAGTAGCATTGGGTGTTCTAGAATATCTGAATTCTATTGTTACCACAGTCACAAACATGTATAAAACCACCAGCACAAGAGGTGATACAGAATGGAAACTCTCCCTCTTCCTGACCACGCCTTCCAAATGAGGTGACAAACTGACCTGAGGTCTCATACACTACAATACAATGACCACTGTAATCAGACACATACACATAATTGTCAGCAATATGAAGACCTGATGGCCCATGCAGTTTTCCCTCTCCTTCCTGACCAAATACTCGTATGAATTGGCCACTGGTGTCCATTACTTGCACTCTCCCGTTACTAAACTCAGCTATATACATGTTCCCGGCAGTATCAAATGTGACATCAAGTGGTGCATCGAAATCACCTCTTCCTTTGCCACGTGAGCCAATGGATCGGACAAAGTTCAAGTCGAGGTCAAACACCTGAATGCGATGGTTATCACGATCACACACATACACTTGATTGTCATACAGTGTTACTCCACGTGGAACATCAAACTCCCCCTCCTCACTGCCCAACTGACCAATACATTTGATCAGTTCACCACTGCTAGTGAACTTCTGCAGCTTGTGCCAACTGCTCACATAAATATTGTCAGTATCATCAGTTGCTATGCCTGCAGGGAGTTTCATCTTATCTGGATTGCCACCATGTGATCCAAATGTTCGAATTTTCTGTCCTCTGATGTCAAAGATAGACACTCTATGACCCAAATATTCACTGACAATCATCTCCTGATGACTGTTGAAGACAATGCCATATGGAAGGTTCAATCCAGTCACAGTCCTCACTGGGTGGCCTAGTTGTCTGGGGTCAGGGTACATGGTCACAGCGAAGGGGCTGCTATTGATTTCTCTGTCGTTGACTTGAACATGGAGTTTGTGTTGGCCTCGACTGACTGGTGTGTACGACACCTCGTATTGGGAGGGAGACGTCATGGCAACCGATACATGCGATTCATTGGGTAGAGTTTCTTGTTTCTTAGACCAAGGCCAAATTGTTGTAGTTCTTGTGGCTTTTGAAACGAGCTCAAGTTGTGCGGTAACATTCAGTGGAGGTGAGTGTGGTCTACCACTAGAGTCAGTTAGTTGGACTAGGACGTGTGTTGGTTGGTTGACTGTGGCTGATGTTAGACCAGGTCCACTGACCTGACATGTGTAGGATGCTGACTGCTGGGACTGGAGAAAGGGAGAGAGAAATGAAAGGGGAATATGGTGGTGATTAATAAGAGCATACACACAATACTACTATAGTATAGCTGTGGACATTCCTAAAGATATTCATAGTCTGTGATTATGGGTTAATATTCATAGCGTACCTTTTCCCCCTGGAGCAGAGCTATCTCCCTGTCTGTGGCCTGCACTAACTCAGTCTCCTGCAGTCAGGAGGACCTCTAGTCACAACACACAACTCCACACACTAGACTAACTCTCTGTCTCATCTCCTGAATCTGCTGCTCCTTTTCCCCCAGTTGCTGCTGCAGAGCTATCTCCCTGTCCTTGGCCTGCACTAACTCAGTCTCCTGCAGTAAGGAGGACCTCTAGTCACAACACACGACTCCACACACTAGACTAACTCTCTGTCTCATCTCCTGAATCTGCTGCTGCTCTCTCCTGATAGTCTCCTCTGCCCTCGTCACCTCTGCCTCCTTTCTCGTCAGCTCTTGTCTGAGTGTCTGCTTGTCTCTCTCACTTTCCTCATCCTACAACAGTCAACATAGTGAAATATATTCCCTAACTCTGCCATACACTGTGCTCTATACCTTCCCAGCAATCTCCCTGTCCCTGTCTGTGAGCTCTTGTCGGAGTGTCTGCATCTCCCTCTCAGTTGCTTGCAAATGTTCTTCCTGCGATCACAAAACACACAACACTTGACTGTGCCACTTAATCATCTTTAAGACCCACATTACGTCTCAATTGCTGCTGTGCTGTAACTAACTCCGTGTCTTTAGCCTGCACACGGGACTGGAGATGAGCATCTCTCTGTCACCAGGTCTCGGAGAACACGCTCCAAATTCTGGTAGAATCACAAGAGTTTTTGTCAACACATCAACTCATACCTAATGAAAAGCACTGAAGTGCAAACCCTCGGCGCACTGTGACGCGCACGTGTAAGTAAACGCATGCGCTGTACCACTAATGGATTGGGCTGGGTTTAGTTTTAGCTGTTACTTGTGGTCTCTTGCCAGCTCGCGCAGAGTCTGACGCGGGCTAACTACACTACTAGATAGTATGCGAGATCTTCTAACTACTACGCAGAGCACGCGGATCGATCCGACTGTGGTAAGCCATCCTGTCCGTTGTGTATTTGCATATTGGCTTTTTCGCGCTCTAGCTTTGCAACGGAGCAGTTTCAGAGAAAATCGTTCGAAATTTCTGACCTTCATTGCCCGTTAAGTACGTAGGTCGTATCCTTTGTGAGGCGAACAAACACCCGAGAAGTGAGATTGAGAGTAACAGACAGACAGACAGACAGACAGACACACAGACAAACCCAACTACTGTAACCCTCGCTGCGCATGCACGCCGAGGGTTAATGAGTGTACAGTCCCTCACCTGGTTCCTGGGCTGGGTCTGAAGAGCTCGTACCAGTTCACGTTTGTTCCTCTCACTCCCTTCATCCCTAAAACCAGCTCTGGCCTCCTCCAGCAGATGCAGCACCTCGCGAATACCTGGCCTCTTGGATGGGAAATTTTGCAGGCATTGCTGGATCAGCCGAATGAGAGGGTGGTCCCCACGGAGCTGGTCACAGGCACGGAGTTCCTTGTTTACGTTTCGCATGTAATGGCTGCGTCGCTGTAGTTCAGTGCGAGCTACGACCTCCCCACTTTTCTCATCTGCAAAAGTTGGAGCAAGAGGATCACAGGGAAAGATTTCACCGATTGTGAAAATGGCAACAACTCCAACAGAAAAAATATCAACACTGGTATCGTATTTCGACATTTCAATGTTGGAAGCAGCAGGAGCAGTTGCCTCTGGAGGCATGTAGACTGGAGCCCCAGGTCCCGTTGTCATGGTGGCTGCAGCTCTCACACGAGGAACGATACGAGCCACGCCCAGGTCGGCTATCTTGGCCACCATCTGCGAGTCCAGGAGAACGTTTTTCTGGCCGACAAGTCGCGGTGGATGACGGGCGATGATCGCTCGTGGAGGTATGCTAGGCCACACGCTACGTTGTGCAGTACGGAGCACTTGAGAGCCATGGAGAAGAAAGATAGCGGTGTGACGGCGCCGGACGGAGGGGGCGTGTCCGGAGCCAGCAAATCGTGAAGACTCGTCAGCAGTCGCTCCATGACGAGGGCAGGCAGTCGCGAGCCGGGAAAGAAAGCGACGCCCAGAAACTGAACGATGTTCGGGTGACGGAGGGTGCTCATAAGTTGGCATTCCCTCACGAACTGGGTCGCGGCCTTAGGCAGTTCGGCGGTCGTGGCATCCCCCTCTCGCAAGAAGGCGTAGATTGTTTTGGCGGCGGCGCCCACAGAAACGACCACCTCCTCCACTTTGCCGTAAGCCCCACTGCCGATTTCGGTGTCAGTGAGCTGGACGTCGGAGAGAACGAACGGCCTCAGCCTGGATGATCGCGGAGAAACTCTTCAGCCATTTTTGTGATTGAATACGCGGCGACGAGAGCGCGCCATGCACCCTAACATTGTGCGCATGCGTGTCCAACTCGGTCGTTCAGCCGCAGCATGGCGCGAAGGGTGGTTGCAAAAAAGAACAGCGCGCCTCTGCCATTAGTGATCGTTCAGTCGTTGCGTCTCAAATATGTGTGTGCATCTAGCGGACAGTGTCCAGTGAGCTGATGATGTTATATAGAGCTCTATAATATAGTGTGCAGAAAGTGTGAGTGGGTGTTACAGATATTCTGTCCCTTTAACCCCTTCAACTCTATCACTCTCTCTCCTCTGCAGATGGAAAGAACGATGGGTCGGTGAAAGGACATCGCTACTTTCGCTGCAAGCCTTCTCACGGACTGTTTGTCAAACCAGAGAAGCCACTCATCAAGGAATCAACTGCTCCAAGATCCTCCCTAGCTCCAGCCTTGAGAACAACTATTAAACCACTTTGGACTTGACTGTATCGGATGGTATGCCATGAATATTGCGCAATTCAGACAACTAGGTGGGCTTACTTCGATTGCATTGCACACATTTTACATAATAACTTGTGCAGTTGATCTTTGCATACTGCCATTAGATGCACACCGGTTGTTGTTCCCTGAATATGGCATGCAATTAGCAATAATTAGTAACTGTCATTAGAAACTAGTTCTACAGTGTCCTTCTGAGAAAATTGTCTTCATGGGTAACTGCACATGCTCAGATATTCTTACTGCCCCATTTGTGCAATGATAGACCAATTAGATGGCTTGTAATATTTAGGAGGAGGAAAAAATAGGGATACAGTGGAACCTCCGATAAGGGACCCCCTAAGATAAGGACACTTGTTTCAACCCCATGCTAGTATTTTAGTATATTATTTGACCTCCAAGATACGGACAACCTCTCCACAAGGGACAAAATCGTTGGCTCCATAGTGTCCCTTGTTCAGAGGTTCCAGTTGAACCCCTCTCGAATGGGACAGAGATAGTGTTCATATTTGCTGCATGTTATATATGACAGGGTGCCCTCATTTCAGGAGTGTCCTTAGGGAGAGGTTCAACTGTACTTGTCATTCACAAAAGTTGACGTAATTCGTAACTCCATCTTCTCGCAGATAGTTCATGAACAGCATGTGTTTTGATCATTCTATTTAATGAGCAACGTGTATTACGATGATTCTCTTTCATGGAAGACATGTATCTCGCTGCAGATCCTGACCAAACACCGCCTCCTCCTGCAGTCAATAGTGCTGTGTCAGCAACTGCCCCAACACCATGTCCCTACTACTGCCCCCAGACCAGGTCTGTCCATCACCCACATCACCCAACCACCATGAGATTAAATGGGGGAAATCTAACAGCACCTCCCATAGTTTTACAGTGGAACCTCCGATAAGGGACCCTGCAAGATAGGGACAACCTCTCTACAAGGGACACTTGTTTTAACTCCATGCTTATACTGATTGTTTGACCTCTGAGATAGGGACGACCTCTCTACAAGGGACACTTGTTTCAACCCCATGCTAATACTTTAGTGACCTCTGAGATAGGGATGACCTCTCTACAAGGGACAAAATCCTTGGCCCCATAGTGTCCCTTGCTCAGAGGTTCCACTATAATACTTCGACCATTAGGCAAGATAATAATTATGTAAGTATGGCTAGGCCAAGATTGATGACAGTGAACATCCAAAAAAGACCCTCTGAAAAAAGGACACCCTTTATAACAACTTCGGTTCTGCCCCATTGACACCCCTTGTATAATATATACTGTAATGATCTGTTTTTCTCTCTCTCTCAGAGGTGGACGTGTCTGTGGACAGCAGTCCAGAGTTCCTTGCACTGAGTGGCAGCTACTCTTACCATACGATATCACCAATGTCTTTGGTCTTTGTGTGTCTTCTTCTGTCCGTTCATTGTTCATTACATCATAGTGTTGGTGTGCACAATATATTTATGGTTGTCTCAATGTTTCATTTTACACAACGGTATAAAATGCACCCTCTTGCAGTGTGTCTTATATATGTGAAATGATCTTCAATGAACTAAAGTGCAAACACTCGGCGAACTGCCGTACCGCTAATTGATGGGCTGGGCTATTAATATGGCATGCGTTTACTCGTGGTCTCCCGCTAGTAGATCGCAAAGAGTCGGACACGGGCTAGCTACAGTAGTAGCATGCGAGAGTCGATACACGCCCTTCGTTGTGACTTTCTTGTACCTTCAAGATACACAGAGCAAGCAGACCGGTCGAGGGCGCATGCGCATTTTCCGCAGCGATAAAATGGCCGACTACGCACTAGCCTACAATGGTGGAAGCGCTCTAGCTTTGCAACGGAGCGTTTTCAGAGAAAACCGTTGGAAATTATGACCTCCATTGCCCGTTAAGTAGGTGGCATCCTTTGTGAGACGATCGAGAAGTGAGATACACACACACACTGACACACGTACACACACACAGAGCTAGAGACAGACAGTAACCATCGCTGCGCATGCGCGCCGAGGGTTAATAAGTTAGCTCAAGGGGTGATGTGTGTTCAAGAGGAGAAGTGTATATATGGTGCCAGCAGCTGGTGAGCAAAGGGGGCATGCACAGCATTAATGTGTGCATACATGGTCATTCTGGTCACGTGTGTGGAGACGTTTCTCACTCATGGAGCCAACACCACTCCTTCACATGCTCAATATGACTGCCGGCATGCGTAACAGATGTCACTATAGTAATTCTACTACAGTGGAACCTCAGATCAAGAGACACTATGGGGCCAAAGATTTTGTCCTTTGTATAATATAGAGGTCATCCAGGTCAATTTAAATGTATTCTAAAGACACGGTATATACACGTATAGAAGGACCCAATTGAAAATATCGCACATAGCAGAGAGGCAAATTTCTCCTCCCCCACAACAATCTAACACAAAGAACGCTTTCCTAGCTATCAAGTGGCTGGAAGTGCTCTCAAACCCATCCCAAAGCTTCCCATGGAGAGTAATCCTGCGAATTTTAGGGATGGTGAAAGGAAGGGAGATGAGATGCGTATATAAATGAGACATAATATTATGAAATATGGTTTCCATTATGAACAGATTGTGGGCATGCATGCTGGCACTTCCCGAGCCCAAGTATATTATTGTTGCCTGGTTTGCCACTCTCAAGCAATATTATATAATGGTGGTAATGAATGACTACCGTGGCCTTCGTTGCTAAACGATAGATGACAAACTGCAAACTACTTGGTTGTTTCCCACATGTAGCTAACAACTTCTAACTGCGAAACAGCCACGGTATATTACCCACTTTTGGTCACTCTGTTAGTACGTAAGTAGTATATACACCATATTTGGTGTCACCTGTCCATAAGTGCTGCTGAAACTTACCTGGTTATACTTGATCTGTCTGTATTGCCAGTAGCTACATAAAATCTATTACAAGAAGATGAACAAAACCTTCCATCAGAGCACCATACATCTATAATGGTAGGTATATATAATATACCATTGTCACACATCTATCTATCAGAGCGTCGGTAGACGCTCTATATAAGGATGATACGAGTGAAATCTCACGTGATCCGCGTACAAAACGCCTCAAAACTCAGCGAGAATGACTCACCATGGCTTCAAAATCACTATATAGCAATAGTCTAGAGGCCAATACCTAGCTATACATATGCCCCAAGACTTCCTACGT